TCTTTCCCTCAGTGATTTAAGTATCAATGCTTTGAGCAAGTTCATGACTTGCACGGCATGAATCAAAGAAGTTAAGGGATCCAATAACTGCAAAAGGTTGAAGACTTTTAGATTCATTACTGAGCTTGAAGCTAATGAATTCAAAATATAGATAATGGAAGGAGTTATAAGAAGTATACTTGAGTCATGTTTGGTGCGAAGACCATGGCTATGTTTCTGGCATTCATCTTGTTGGAGTTCTCCTCTTCAACCACATCTGCCATGAGCTCAACCGCCCAATTGAGGAGTGCATTTTGTGTTGGGGGAAGCAGCTTCACAAGCTCGGAATAATCTTCCTCAGTTTCGCATTGAAGAACTTGTCCTGGGGAGAGACTGTCCATCACCCCTTCAGGAAGTTCTCTGAACCAGGCCTGTAAAGTAGTGATATAACATTACAATTTTCTGATTTTAGAGAGATGATAATGAAAAAAAAAAAATTTTTTTTTGATGTTCATGTTGATGACTGAGTGATAAAAAATTTGATTTGTTCCAAGTTTAAATGTTAAACATAGATCTTATTATAAACATTTTCTTCAAAAAATTCAAATCTTTCAAGAAATCCCAAATAAAATTCATCAAACCTTTATCAGGCTAGCCAAGCAATGAACATCAATGCCATCAGGCAGAACGCCCAGCTTGCTGAGCTGCTGCCTTGCTTCCTTCTCCTGCTCATTTTCGGGATTTATCCTAAAAATTCCTTCTGCCTGAAAACAAATAATCAACTTCAATTACTCTAAAAACAAGACAACCATTTAAAAAAAAAATACAGAGTCTTGTTCTACCTTTAAACCACCCTGAGAGCATAATCTCTGCTGCATCAGCAACAGAATAGTCGGCACACTATTCCCTTTAGAGTCATACCCGCATTGCATCGACTCAGGGGATATTCCAAATACATTCAAACTGTAATATTTCATTAGAATCGAAGGACATATGTATTTGCAGAATTAAAAGATAACTGGAGTACCTCGCGCTGGGAGCTTGGCGAGGTACTTGGAGCTCAAACTCGACTGGAAGACCGAGGAAGCCATGGAAACGGTCGAAGGTAACATGAGCTATGTGATGAACTTCAGAAGGCCAACTGATGTCGATTGCTGGCTCTTCCTCTCTCAAGTGGCAGTGAGCCATGGATTTCTTGAAGGTAGCTGCAAGAAGAGTGATCAGAGAGATCTGGCATTGTCTTTCCTCTACTTCCCCTTTTCCTCCCCTCTTCCCATTTGCTCTGCAACCACATGGTGCTACAGCTACTTCTGACATCTCTCTCTCTCTCTTTCTCTTCGAAATGGAGAAGAGGGGTTTAGCGGGATGATAATGGGAGTGGAGTGAGGTCTCTGTTAAGTGTTCTGATTCAAACGGCTACTTGAGTTTCAAATTTGGGAGATTTTTGTTTTTTGTTTGCGCTTTTTGTCTTCTGGGGAAAAGGTTGGAAGACGAGTTTTGTATGGCACGCTGGCTGATGAGCTGTTTGTTCAAACGTGAAATTCAGTGCCTTCAGTTGGTGGGGTTATCTCTGTTTTTGACTAACTTTAACTGTTTAATTTGCCCAAAAAAAAAAATTAAAAAAACAGTAAAAAAAAAAAGTGAGATTATACATACATGCCATTCAATTCCCGTATTTACAATTAAGGCCGTCAAAACGGCTCTTTCAGCATGAACAACACGAGCCAATATTTGTTTAATCGTGTTCGGCTCGTTTTGGCTTGAAATACTACTAATCAATTATATATAAATCTTTGATGAGTAGTGTTTTTAAAAAATTTAATTGGCAACAAGGCTACAAAGATTTATAATCAATTAATAGTATTAATGAAGAAAATAAAATAAAAATTATTAAATTAGATCCAAATGATGTTTTAAATCTTGCACTAATCCTTAACATCTTATGGCTTAGTGATAAGGGTTGTTAAAATGACTCTTCATTCTTGAACGATTGTCAAAACGACAATTTGTTCGTGAACGGCTCTTATTCGGCTCGTTTGGTGTTCAGCTCGCTAAGCAAACGAGCCGAACACAAATACACTTTTTGAGAGCGAGTTCAGCTCGCGTTCGGCTCGTTTACACCCCTATTTACAACAAAGAAATTTTAAATTTTACATGTAATTTTATCTATGCATTAAAAGGTGTATTTCACTTTTTGCTTAATTAAAATGATGATTTTTTTGGATAAAAGATAAGGGTGGCACAGATAAAAAAAATAAATTTTAGATATTAGTGCATATAATGGCTCCTAAAAAGAATAGATTGCAATTGAATATTATATTTTTAAATATTTTGATTTTAAATAAATAAAAAAATTATTTTTTTTTTTGTATTTAGTATGATGAAAATTAATATAAATGTAAAACACAAACGAAAACAAGTGTAAATTACAAAAATTTTTTATTAATTTACATATCTAACAATTTTAACTTTTAATATCTATATTTGTAAGATTTTATTATTATATCACTTTTAAAAACTTAGGTATCGTGGTACTTTTAGTATGATGTCCAAGATTTGTGTGATATGTATTTATATATGAAACGTATGTAAACAATTAAGAATTATGTGGCATGTATGCAAAAGCCATTTGTTTTAATAAAAAATGTGTATGATTTTTATCAACTAAATTGACGTCGCCCCCAATTCATGGAGAAAATATTATATTGTATGAGGACTTCAATCACTGTTTGTCACGTGTACAGTCCAGACCCCGAAAGTAAAAAAAAAAAAAAATTAAATTGTTTAATGCATTGTAGGATATGCACGACCAGGAGTGATTGGAGTCCGGATGAAGCGTTGCATCAAAACTCCTGAAGTAATATTTTTTAATAATTGTTTGGCTCCCACTTTTTAATTGATTTTGGTGAGGAATTTTTTTTTACAATTAAGTTTATTAATGTGCATGAATAAGAAAATTTTTGTTCAAATTCTAAAATAAGTGCATTTACAAATATAGCATCCAATTTTTATGTATTTGTGTATCTAACACCTCTTTTTTTAGCATTAATTTATATGAAACAAATACTTTTTATGATGTAAGAAAATATCTCTATTTTATGTTTAAAAAGTGAAACATATATTTGCATGCAAAAATAAGGTGGTATAAATATATAAATTGAAGTTTAGATGTAAGTTATATAAATACATAGAAATTGAGCGAAGTATGTAAATTATGAGTGTAAACGAGTTGAGTTGAGCTCGAGTCACCCTCTGCTGTAGCTCAAGCTTGATTAATTTTATCGAGTTCGAGCTCTAGCTTCACTGTACAAGTTCGAGCAGGCTTACGAGCCAACTTGTTTATTATAAAAGAGGAAAATAATATTAAGTTTATAATAAAACACAGACATATTGAACAATTAGAAGAAAAATAAGAAGAAAACATGTAATATAAAATATTAAATATGATTTTTAAATTTTTTAGTACTTTATATAGATAAAATTTTCAAATTTAATATTTTTTAAATATGCTTTACATTGATGTATTTTTAAACTAGCCGGCTCACGAGTTAACGAGTTAAGTTGAGTCGAGCTAGCTTGACCTTAGTAGCTCAAGCTCAGTTCATGAGCCACTTATAGATCTAAACTCAAGCTGGCTTACGAGTCTGCTTGACTAACTTAAACCCCTAATGTAATGTTTCATATGTTAATGGTAATATTTTAAAAATAATTTAAAAAGAAGTTATTTTTTCAACGCAAAATGTAATTTCCTATTTTTATTAGTATGAATAAGAAGAATCTTATTGAGTTGGCATAAGCGCATTACACACCAAAATTTTTTTTAGCATGTGTCCACGCTCCAACTATCTTTGTGCCTCTTTTGCTGCGTTTAGGATAGCTTGTGCATTTCAGAATAAATCTAAAATGCTGCTTGCAGATCGACCGTCGGGTTTAACCTTCAGCCTGCATTTATTGTAAAAATGAATCGTGTTTTTGGATAAGCAGACAAAACGCGGGAACCAAACGGTCCGCCGCACTTATAAGCTACCCCAAACGGGTTAGTTGTCACTACATCAAGCACATTACGACATCTTTAGGCAATAAGCTGGCACTACAGAAGCCTCATATTTGCTTTTTTACATTTACACCACCTAAATTTTTCATATCACCAAAAAAAAACAAAAAAAAAAAAATCACCATTTTAACTTCTACAGAGTGAAATATACATGTGATGCATAGGTAAGATGGTGGCATGTATGTAAAAATTAAAGTTTAGATGTTAGATATGTACAGGCAAGAATTGAGTTGTATGTATATAAATATCCCTAATTATTTTTTTTTAAAGAGAGGGAGAATTTCTTAATTTTTTTTTTATTTTGATTTAGTTTGTTATATTTTTCTTCACTTTCTAAAATATAAACCACATAATTGTTATGTATTTACATATCTGACATTTAAACATTTTTATGTACAAACATATTATAAAGGCATGTCTTTATCATCTCTATCATAAATGTACTCTTTTGGCATTTTCTTTATCATTTATCGTGCACGAGTACAATTACATCCTCTACCAGTACTATAAAAGATGACTCCCAGAACTATAAAAGATGACTCCCGATAGACTTACGCTTTAAATATTTATTTAAATTATATTTCATTTTTTTTATAATTAGAAATTATTTATTTTCTTTTATGTGCAATGCAGAGTATGAACCAACATAAATAACAAAACAATTAGTTCTTTTTTTTTTCAATTATAAAATTATCTCTAATGAGTCTAAAATAAGTGAAACATTTTTAAATAAAAGAAACTAAATTTAATACATAAATCAGTGATGACCCCCTTTGAACTTTAAGAGACATCTGAAACACTTATCCCTTCACTTTCTTTCTACTAAATTCACATGTATGCAGGACAGGTGCATATTTAAGAATTTTTATTTCCAAAATAACTCTCTAACATAGAATTCATAATTTAAATATTTTTTTTCCCAATTATATTTTAAATAAAAAACTCTTCCATGACATTCATATACTCTACTTAATGGCATTTAATTAAAACCACAAACATAATTAATACATAAATCTTTACATCCAACTCCACTGAAGTTACTTCTTCCTGCCTTTTTTTTACTTCTGATCTAAATAATAAAAAATGATAATTAGTACATTAAAGTAATTATGCAAATCCTGCATTGAAATTAACAGTAAACATACCTCTCTTTTTTTTTTTTTTTTTTTTTTTTTTTTTTTTTTTTTTTTTTTTACTAATTCTGGATTTTCCTCCGATCCGAGATTTCTATAGCTTCAATCCTCATTTTATTTAATCAACCATTAACATTTTAAAACTAAACATTTATTTAAAATTCCTTAATACTATAAAACGCTCACTCACTTATTAGACGCTCTGTTCTGCCCTTAACTCGTACAAACGTGAGCCGCACTTCTTCCTCCTCTTTCTTCTACCACCAGTGGTCAGTTGAGCACGTAAGCTTCATATGACCAGAAATTATTGCATCAAGAGTCTGATACAATTTTACACAATTTTGCATCATGACTCTAATCAAGATCTGCCACGTATACAGGCAAGCCCCCAATTTAATACATAGGTGTATCTGATAGTACACGTGATAGATCGTAATAGAGTCCTGATGCAAAATTATATCAAAACTTCTAATGCAATAATTTCTCATCTGACAAGGAAAAACCACATGATCCTTCCTCCTTCAGCTTCTTCTCGAGTACGCGTAAACAATCTTCCCTCATAGAGGCTCACATCGTCTTCTTGAATATAGCACACCCTCGGCGACCTCTTATGAACATGTCAACTCAACTTGCCCAAGAGAAAACAAGTTTCCTTCTTGTGACTTCTTCCTTCTCTTCCCTCTCTCTTCTCCTTCGTATTTTAGACATCAAACTTTGGATGTTATGAATGTGAAATATTAAACTTTGGAAGTTAATACACAAACATCAAACTTTGGATGTTAAAAATATAAATACATAAAAATTGTTTGGCATGTAAATTTCCCTAAATTGGGGCATTTACATGCTATATTTATACATCTAACACCAAAACTTCCCTATATAATACTCAAATTCTTAACATCAAATAAAAAAAGACACAGTTACTAAATTTAAAAAAAAAAAATGAAATTAACCAAGTAAACCGTGCCACCCACAACACAATACAACTAATGAAGATAAAATCACAACTTAAAACATCATTAACAATAATCTTAAAAGCAGACTCCTCCTAATCATTATATTTTACAACAAAACAGTGATATTCTAATGTAATTGTGATTGATTAGTTTGGTAGTCAATGAATTACAATACAGTGCTGACAAGCTGATTAAAAAAAAAACAAACTCATGTAGTTGAGGATTGTTTCAATATTGTTGGCTTTCTTTTTCTCCCTAATATAGAAGCCTTCTCCAACCTTGATCCACCTATCCTCCATTTCTTAAACGCAACCATTGACGACCGAGCAGCTTCAAACACTTAGAATCCAAACACATTTCATTAATTATTATATTAAAGAATGCATTAGTATGCAATCATTATAAAAGGATAAGAAAGATTTACATACATACCACTCAGATTCTTATTTATTTTTACATATCTAACACCTAACTTCATTTTTTTACATACAAGCCACGTCCCCTATGCAAGAAAAAGGTGTATTTCACGTTTTAAAAGTTAAATGGTGATACTTTTTATGTGATGTGAAAGATTTGGGTAGTAGAAATGTAAAAATAAAATAAATGCATAAGAATAGGGTGGTATTTATGTAAAGGAACCAAAAGATAATTAGAAGAAACTTTACATTGGGATTCTTCCTTTGTGAGCTTGGAGGAGAATTTGGGTGTAGCTCCTGTGATGCTGTGTGATTTGCACAATATCTCAGTGTATCTGCTACTGAATGCATATTGAAGAAAAGGACCAATGCTCTTGTCTGTAACCCTGTCAGCAATCAGAGATTGCCATGAGAATAGGCTTTTTGTGCCAAAGAAATAAATAATTAAAATCTAAATATAAGAATAACTTCTTCTTTATCCCTCTTCCTCTTGTGTACTCACTAAAAGATTAAAAGATTAAAATTTCTTCAGAATCGATTTATGTATCAAGCGAAAAGCATAGATTTGTTTACATACAGGGGTAAAAGTTTGCAACCCAGCTCATAGAAGTAAGGGGAGCGGAATCTCAAATCCACGCATGCTGCATCAGCCTGGATTTCCTTTCTCGTCCTGAACACCAATTAAATTCTAATAATGATTGCTTATTCTACCATATAGAAAGCATCCGATCACAAATTTGATTTGCAAGGCATAGTTTCAAAACACATGATTTCATGTCACAACTACTTCCCAACATACACATGCATACATACATACATACATACATATATGCATTGTTTGATGTCAAATTGGACATAATCACAAATATCTGTTCATTTTTCAAAAAGCGTCAAGCATGCTAAGAAACTTACTTTTGGCTAAAACAATGAGGAACATTGATTGATACTGCTTGTCTCAAGTACAACTCATGAGCAAGCCAAAATGGCATGTCAACTTTAGCACTCTTTTCTATCTGAACAAAAATAGCATTGCAAGTATTCTAGAACTTCAGAACATAACATAAATTGCAGAATGTAAAAGAAAAAGATAAAAAAAAAGTTTGTGGCATTTGCATAACAAACCATACGATTTTTTTTTTATGTATTTACATATCTAACACCTAAACGTGAGCAAGCCAAAATGGCAAGTCAACTTTAGCACTCTTTTCTATCTGAACCAAATAGCATTGCAAATATTCTAGAACTTCAGAACATAACATAAATTGCAGAATGGAAAAGAAAAAGAGAAAAAAAAGTTTGTGCCATTTGCATAACAAACCATACGATTTTTTTTATGTATTTACATATCTAACACCTAAACATTCATATTTCCATACATACCACTCAAATATTTATCACATAAAAAATAACACAATCGTCATCTTTTTAAAATTGAAATACACCTTTACACGCATAGATTTACGACACCACAGTGTCATAAGTGTAAATATCAAACTTTAGGTGTTAGATAAGTAGTTTCTAAAAAATTATGTTTCATGTACAACTTACACTATTTGTTTCTGAACTAGGATCAAGTAGACCAACTCCATTTGCTCCTATTTGAAAAATAACAGAAATAGGCTACAGAAATAATATTCGTGTCAGCAAAGAACTACCTATATGATTATAAATCCATTCCAGCACAACCTAAAGAAAGGAGAAGAAAAAGGCTAACTGGCTAGCACATACCTCTTCCTCCAGTAGAATATCATCTATGTCATAGTACATGCCCATCTTATGACCCTGACCTTACAACAGATTAGCAAGAATCTCTTCAGAATTGAAAAGATAAAAGAAGAGTTACATGCATACCACTCAATTCCTATGCATGTACATATACAACACCTAAGCTTCAATTTTTACATGCATACCATCGTGCCTATGCTTGCAAAGGTGTATTTCACTTTTAAAAAATTAAAACGGCAGTATTTTTTATGTGAAATGAAAGATTTGGGTGGTATAAATGTAAAAAAGTAAAATTTAAGTGTAAGATAAGTAAATACATAGGAATTGGTGGTATGTATGTAAATGCCCAAAGATAAAATATACATGTTTGATTGTAATATGCAGATTGGCTTACTTACAGGTAAAATTTTGCAACCTGGCTCATAGAAGTAAGGGGAGGGGAATCTCAAATCCAAGCATGCTGCATGAGTGTGAATTTCCTTTCACGTTCTGAACAACAATTAAATTATAAAAATAATTGTGAATTCTACAAAAAAAAGAAGCATCTTTCATGGACTTGATCTATTCGACACAACATCGCTTTCAAGTTACGACTACTTCACAACAAATGCATGCTTGATAAATTAAAAACAAAGCGCATCAATTATAATCTCAAATCTTTGTACATTTCATAAAAATCATCTACCAAACTAAAGAATTTGCTTTAAGATGAAACAAGAAGGAAAATTTATGGATTCTTCTTGTCATAAGCAGGCCAAAATGGCAGGTCCTCTTTAGAACTAATTTCTACCTAGACCAAACAAAATATGTGAGTGAAATTTAGAACAGAAGAAGAATTGCAAGAAGGGAGGAAAAAGGATGAAAGAATTGATTTTGCAAGCATCATCTAGCTAGGGCTCATATCTCCTAATCCTACTGATTTGCATCACCTTCAAGACAGTAATGTTGCACATCATATAACTATGCTTCCTTTTTTTGTTTCTTAAGCAACTTTTATTGCTTGCGGTTCAAATTACTGTTGAAATTAAAGATAAAAAATGTAACTAGCTGTTGAACTAGCAAAAGAAAGTACTAAGGATAAAACTAGCCCAATTTGAGCAAGCATGGCCTATGTTCGAGTTCAGCTTGTTTGATTTTTATTCTATTTAAACTCATGTTAGATTATGCTCAAAAACAATATGTTCATGTTAGGCTCAACTTAGGGTACTTAGGCTTAAATAAATATAAATTTCAAATTAAAAATAATTATTTTAAAATTTAAATTACAAATTAAAAGACCCAGAGTTTTCTAAAACAAGATTTGCAAACAAGCATGTTATTTTCACAGTTAAATTTCATCACTAAAACATATGTAAAACGACGTAATTCTAAAACATCGTGGCTTAACAGCAACAAATTAAAGAAGAATAGCTATTAAAGAACATCACTTCATGAAAACATGCCATCAACCTCAATATCCCACATAAAATAATTTATTCGCCAAGAAAACCATCCAACTATGAAAGAATCTAAGAAACAAAAAATGCTACAAAAAACAAGCACATCTTAAGAACAGCAAATGGCAAGGCATATCTAAACAAAGGGAGATATACTGCATACAAAAATATCAGTTAAGAAATGGACGTCAATATTAAAAAAAAAGGAAAAAAATAACTCTACTAAATCTTAAGATCTCATTTTAACTGTAAAAACTTCTAAAAAAGGAATAGAGATTCCTTGAAAAAGCTAGAAAATTTTGAGAAAACTTCATTGAAAGATTCAAAAATTGCAACAGCATTAAAAAAAACAAAAGTTGGATCTCCCAAACCAACTTAGTTGACTAGCAAAAAAAAGTAGAAATTAAGCCTCACTCTTATAGACAAATAATAGCATAGCGAGAATAAACTAAAGAAGAAACCAGCGACATATTTACAGTATGAAGAGAGACCGGGACAAGTTTAAAAAATAAAGAGACAAAGTAAGTAAAGATTTGAGTGAATTTGTTGTTGCTTCAAGAATCATAAGAGATGGCGAAATAGACAACCGGAGACCACAAAGCGACAAAATGGCATAAAGAACGATAAAGAGCATGGACTCAAAAAAAAGGAGAAAGCGAGAAAAGCATGAGATAAGAGTTTGTTTGGGATAATTGTAAATGTCAAAAAAATTAGTTCTGAAGCCACTATAAAAAAAAGTTTTTGTTTGTAGTTGCTGCTAAAGCATCCTCCATTCTTAGGAAGATCAAACTACGAGGTTGTCGTGTTGTTGTGGTCAAATTATTATTACACTCTCACTTATGTTAAAACACATAAATTAAATATTACTTGTCAAACAGAGAAAAATGCAATTTATAAAAAATAATATCAGATTTATCTCATGAGAAATGCAATAAATACTTGAAAAATTTGTCACGACCCGATTCAAGACTTATAATTAACTAAGATGGGAACAGATGGTCGGACGGTAAAATTTAATTTTCTATTATTCTAATTCTATCCTTAATAGTTTAAAATTCAAATATTCATGAAACAACCACTAAAGAAAGTAATTTAATTAATAAGTAAAACTATTATCTACTCAATTATTTTCTCGCCTCCTCTACACAGTAGCTCTTTTAGTATTCATCTTATTAAAAAACTTACATCTGAAAAATTATTAAAATATAATGAGTTATCTAAAATAACCCAGTGGAGCAATAACCCTTATAAACTACAATAACTCAAGAAAAAACAAGCAATACGAATGTTGATCTTTTATATTTCACCATAAAAGATCTTATAATAATCTAATGTATGTGTTCATGAAATTTACTCAATGAAAATAACTTAAACTTCGATACGCATTAACTTTAATTGTACTTGTCATGGTTAATATTTAACTTTGTTTTTATTTCATGCTATTAAATTCACATGTCTTAAAAGCACCGTCAAAACATAACCTAACACACCTATGGTTAATATCATCCCATCGGCAAAATGGATCGTGATCTAATTTACACGAGTGTTTGAAATACAAATGTGTCTACTAGCCCGAGTCTGACATTCTCTTTTAAGCACATCAGTTAACGGTCTAAACATCACAATTGTTAAGGGTGATAGGATAACATTACCCACATAGGTACACCAACATCCACTGCTTGTACCGTAAGGAGGTGAACTACTCTTTCATGCACATACAAACAATCATGCATACACTATTTCATTATTCATATCATATATTCTTTACTTATGAAATACTTTATCTCTATCTATTGATGAATAAAATGCAATTTTACTAAATATATAGATAATGCAATAAGCAAATATATGTATTTATAATGGAATCTACATATTATGTATTCATATAACATCTTCTTAGGAAAACTATAATGCAACTATTAATATATAATTGTTAATATGCATGCTTTATATAGAACAATATGAAGGGTCAATGATAATGAAAAACTAAAATTAAAATACATCTAGAAATAATAAATACTACTGTAATTCTGAAACATATTACTCGCCTTGAATCTATTTGATGATTCTTGAAGACACTTAATCTTTGATTTTATCCGCTATTTAGTATCTATAAAGGCAAAAAATAGCATTATGTTAATCTTATAATCTCTCTTAATCATCTTGATTCAACAATTATTCTCATCAAAATCCTAAAATATTTCTCAGTTACACATTATTTTAAGTATTAACATATCTTCTAAATAAAAAAACATGAGTAGAACATACCGCACTAAAATTTTTTCGGTTGCTCCTACCTCGATCACCTCTCCAATTATATTTTAAAAATTCTGATTAAATTAAATCTACTATTAATATTTTAAAAATTAAACATATATTAGATTCATAATTAATATGCTAAAACAGTCACATTAAACTTTAGTGATTTGCTTGGCTCCTCAGTAGTTGTGCACGCCAGGGAGATTGATGGCTTCGCTTCGGCTCTTCCCCTATCACACGAAGTGTTGAAGCCTCCCACACACGTCCTTCCTTTGCACACAAAGGATGGTCGAATTCGGCTTCCCCTTCTCCTGCGCTAGCACAAAACCAACATGCAGCCTCCTCTTCCTCGTCTAGGGCAGGAGCTTTCATCTCCTACCCAAAGCCGCTTGATTCATCTCTTTTCCTGCACACCGACAATGATGCATATAAGCCTTTGTTTTCAACTTTATCTGCTCCTCCTGCAAGAACAACGCCACCCCTACTTCCTTCCCACAAGCAACTGAACGTGATGTTGTCTTTCTCCAACAAGACATCTTCGACATAGCCTCCCTCAACTTCTTATCTCACAGGTAAATATTCTTCTTCCTTCCTCTTCTTCTTCTACAACTAATTCTTCTTCTCCTTCTGCCGCTACTCCTCCTCCTCCTCCTCTATCTTTCATGCTCTCCCTCTCTATTAAAACTGGCTATTACAAAATTTATGTAAATTTTGGGTGGCAAAGCTTCAACAAATTAGGAGCAAACTTCAGTTGTAGATTATAGATCTACACGCCACCGGCAACATTATATCAACGGTGGATCTATATAGCAACGCCAAAAGATGAACTCTAATTCAAAGAATGGGCTGTTTGGTAGAAGGAATTGAGTGGGATTCAAGCACGATTTAACTAAATTCTGCGAAACAGAAAAAGACATCTTTATATCCTACAGGTTCTTAAATCCTGTTTTTTCTTCGTTTAGCCATAAATCCAGGATCTAGTACATCCCGTTGAAAGAAAGATTTACGGGATTTAGGGGCTGTTTGGTAGTCGGCATTAATCAGGATTTACGCAGGATTTAGGCTAAATCCTGCCAAACGGCAAAATGAATCTCCGTAAATCCTGAGATTTGTCAAATCCCAAAATCCGGCCGATTCGTCGTAAATCCCAGATTTAGTAAATCCCGTGAATCAGCGTATTTAGTAAATCCGGTACGAGCGAAGTGAACGAGCAAAGAGAAAGAATGGCACGAACAGGCTTACCTCTTCCTCAATGGTTTCTGGTAGGAGCGGAGCGGAGCGGAAGGATGAGAAAGATGGGACTTTCAGTGGTCTCTGTAAGCCGCGATCCCATCGTTGCCTTCCAAGCTTGCTCTAATGGCGATTTTATCGGGAAGGTTGGTTCACGAAGGCGATGGTTTTGAGCGAAACCGGGAGGGAGAGGGAGAGGGAGATAAGCGACGTTTAGGGCGACGGTGGCAACCTCAAGGGTTTCGGGTAGAGAGGGGAAGTAATGAGAAAATAATCGATTATTAATTATAATTAGATAAATTAAAATGTAATTATTTAATAGCAAAGTAATGAATTTAATTTTTTTAATTCTTAAATATTTTATAAAATTTTAGGTATTTCTTAATTTATATAATTTGTTAAAGATTAAATTTAATAATTAATAATTTATATAAGTACTTAATAATTAATTTAAAAATCTCTTTATACACTTGGAGATATACATTTGTATTTTTTATTTAATATTTACTTTATTATATTTACTCTGGTAAATCCTATTAATTTTTTTTAAAATTGCAAAAATATTTTTCGAGATTTATCAGAATTTGCTTACTAATATAAAAATTTATAGACATGAGATACCAAATAATTTGCAAGTTGTTTAATTTTTTAATTTATTTCAATATAGTGGAGATGTTTTAATATACAAAAGAAGTTGTCGTAGTCACTCCCCAAAACATTTTACCTAAACTTCCACAACTATAAAAAATCTATTAATTCATAATATATAGAGTTTCTTTTTTAATGCTTGAGCTATTGCACATGAAATATAGCTCAAAATTGGGGTTTATATAGGCGTAAAACTGGTTGGTAAATATTTATTGGTAATTTTGACATAGGCTATATCGATGGGAGCAAACATGTTGGGACACAATACAAGTATAATTAATCTAATTCTAGATGTCTTGTATTTGAAGGCATTTGTCCATGGGGAAGTTATCTTAAGAAGTGATGATGGCTTTTAAAAAAGCAATTTTGAGGATAGAAGAATCTTGAAGGTATGGCCTTTAATCAGCATGGTGAGTGGTACTAGAGTCCTTCAAGTAGCTAAAGTGAGCAGTGACAATTATGGTCGGGACAACAAAAATTTCAAGGTTTGACATGAGACAAAAGCATGGTTGCAAATAAACCAAGGTGAGTGGAGCACAAGATTGTTTGAGCTTTAGTTTGTTTGACAAAAGCTCATGAAGACTTGGCACATGCTTGTTTCAAGCTTTTTGTGATATTGTTTCAAGTTTGAGCATGTGTACCAAAGGTTTTTGTGAGCTTGGCTTGAAATTAAGCTTGTTTATAATGTAATCAGCTGGTTATAAGCAGACAATTCATTTGAAAAAAAATGAGCTTTATTTTGCCAAGAATGTTGGGTTAGAAATGATTCATTAGTATGCAATTGTGATCATAATATAATGTAGTTGTTGGGCGAAGTTACTTAGTCTAAAGGCTCTCATGGTAGCTATTATATTTGTGAAGCCGTTGGGGGTCAAATCTCGTGAAAAGAAAACTCACACACCACATTCTTAATGGCATAATTTAGTATAAATGTAATAGTATATTTATTGTAAGCTTTAGTTTTTTTTTTTTTTTAATTTAAATTTTTTAAATTTTCTATAGTTTTTTTTTTTTTTTAATTTAAATTTTTTAAATTTTCTTTTATTCTTTTCTATGTAAGCTTAACATCATCATTGATAAATTATTACAATAGGCGAATGGAGTTTGCAAAATGCTTTTAGGTGATAAAATTTTAGTTGAATGCTTTATATTTTATTGATTCATTGAATTTTTATGTCCCTGTTAAACTTCAATCCACAAAGATTTTATTTAAAATATGATGGTATTTTGAAAATAGTGTCCCATCCCTTGAGATTTTCAATCAATGTGACCATCAAATAGAGTTAAATGCTTAAAATATTTATATTTACAATTTTTTTTTATTTTTTTACTTGAATTTCATTAATATCAGTCTCATCAACTTCAGTACTTACGTGGAGAATGATTGATCTTCGTAAGTGGGATTTACAACTTTGATTTATATAACCAAAGGTATGATGATTTCATGATGAGTGTAGGATTATTGATGTTGCACTCGCTTTTCTATTTTGAGCTTATTGCCCATTATTCAATGATGGAGATGATTTAGGTTTTAATCGTATGGATTTAATTGAGCCAGCTTAGGAGCTAACAAACAAAGTCGATTCAAGCCTAAACTTGAGTCTTAACGTAAGAGCTTGTAGCATAATAAACATACCTCGGAGGTCGTTATTTATTTATTTTTTCTCCTCTGCTACTTCTCATAGATCGCAATCGTCATCCGGACGCAGCTTGTGTTCGGACTCCAGACATAATATTTTTTTAGAGCAATGCACGTAAGTGCTACGTCTAGATTCCAGATATAATATTTTTTCAAAGTAACGAGCGTAATCTCCCTTTTCTTTTCTCTCCTCTTTTTTATAATTTATTTGGCATTGCTCCCTAGCTTTTTTTATTTATTAAACTCTACCAAACAACCGTACTCATTATTGTTATTATTATTATTATTATTATTATTATTATTATTATATATATATATATATATATCAATTGATTAGACATCCATTTGGTATGAGATTTGATTTTCTCTGAGTGTAGGGTGTGGTACTTAAATTATAGACACAAGAGGGATAATCTGGGCTCGTATCATAGCATTCGGCCATTCTTATTAGTTCTTCCCGCCATGTCCAATAATTTATTAT